GAGTGGAGGGTATCTTTAGAATGGAGGAATTGTATCATATGGAAGAGGACAAAATGGAAAAATTTAAGAAAACATGGTATAGATGGATGAAATTTAAAACCTCGGAAACATATACAGAATTGATTAGGGTAAAGGGGGAAGTCTAGAAATTGGAAGTGTTATTGTGGTAAACACCAGAAAGAGATGAAATCGATACAGATAGATGGGTATGAAGGAAGAACTAGATTGGGCGTGGAGGGGGGATGGACTGGGGAAACATTGGGGGAAAATGGATATATGAAATATTTTTATAATGGATTTTTTTGTATAATAATCAAATAAAAATTAAAAAAAAAAAAAAAAAAAAAGATGAAATGGTCTGGAGAAGCCGTGGAGAACATTATGCTGCCTGTAATATCGTTCAGCATGACTGTTTTGGTGGTGGGTCAGTGATTGTCTGTGGAGGCATATCCATGGAGAGACGCACAGACCTCTACAGGCTAGACCATGGCACCCTGACTGCCATTAGGTATTGGAATTAAATCCTTGGACCCATTGTCAGACCCTACGCTGGTGCAGTGGTTCCTGGGTCCCTCCTGGTGCACAACAATGACCAGCCTTGTGCCGAGAGTGTAGGCAGTTCCTGGAGTATGAAGGAATTGATACCATTGAATGGCTCCCACACTTACCTGACCTAAATCCAAATAGAATACCTCTGGGATATTATGTTTCAGTCCATCTGACGCCACCAGGTTGCACCTCAGTGATGCCCTGGTCCAGATCTGGGAGGAAATACCCCAGGACACTATCCGTCGTCTCAATAGGAGCATGCACCGACCTGGTCAGGCATGCATACTAGCACGTGGGGCCATACAAACTACGGAGTACCATTGTGAGTTGCTGCAATGACATTTCAGCAAAATTGACTAGCCTGTTGCATCATTTTTGCACTTTGATTTTTGGAGTGTCTTTGAATTCAGTCCCCTGTAGGTTGATAATTTTCATTTCCATCAAGCAATGGGGCTTCCTTACATTCCTAGCACATTACCCAGTCCATATCAGTATAGATATCCAGCAAGATATTTTCCCCATTGAGATCTGATGTGTTTTCAAAGAGTTTCTTTAATTTTTTTTGAGCAGTGCATCAGAAAATACAGAGCAGCGCATACAGCTCAGTACACCATTCATACATGTCAGTATACACAGTGCAGTCTGCATACAGCTCAGTACACCATCCATACATGTCCGTATACACAGTGCAGCATGCATACAGCTCAGTACACCGTGCATACATGTCCGTACACACAGTGCAGCTAATACAGCTCAGTACATCTTCCATTTCATTGCTTTTTAACAAAGTTTTAAAATGAATGTAATTTCTGAAAGAAAACCCACATATACTGTCCGCAAATGTGTTCAATTGAGAAGAGTGTTCCCATTTTGCGCCTTCGAATTTTCCCATCACTGTGGTTCAAAAACAAACATCAATTTGACCCCACTAACAATTAGAAAATCAAATCGCATGCTCTTAAAACAAAAAGTTTCTAAGCACAAATTTGCCAGTGCATGGCCAAAATAAATGACAGCAGATGCAGGGAGCTTGTATCAAGCTACCTGCCTATGACAAGGGAGGCTGTCATATAGATTATATTATAGTCCTGTCTGAAAATCTGCAAAACAGCATTTCAGGTCTTTTAACTTTTTTTTTTTTATCTTTAAATAAAAATATTTTGATCTCTGAACTCATTATGTACCAGATTCAACCTCTAATAGTATATATAGTGTGTCTCTTCGGTCTGTTATTCTGAGAGTGGATTCGATATTTTGTTCCCCAACCATATAGCTGGTTATTTACAGTATATTTACAACAGCATTTACTATGAGATATTAAAGAACAAACTGCCCTTTTTTAAACTTTGCATACTAACTAAATTGTACGCCAAACTTTTTTTTCTTTTAGGTTTTTATCCGATTAATCAAAACAATAATTGGCGAACTAATTATTGTGTGTGTCATACTAAAACTTTTGGCAAGGGCTATATACGCTCACATGTCAATAGCAGGACTGCAACTAATGATTTTCATAAAGTCTGCTGCCTCAGTTTTTATGATGGCAAATTTGCATATACTCCAGAATATTATGAAAAGTGATCAGATGAATTTCAATTAATTGCAAAGTCCCTCTTTGCCATGAAAATTAACTTAATACCAAAAAAAAAAAAAACATTTCCACTGCATTTCAGCACTGCCAGCTGACAGTGTTGAAGAGGACAGGGCTGGAGATCACTCTTAAAGCTTCCAGTCTTTTATTCTAACTCAGTCAGCATGACAAAAGAGGGTGATGCTTGAAATCATTGTTCTTCCTCTGTTAACCATGGTTACCTACAAAAAAAACACATGCAGTCATCATTATTTTGGACAAAAAAGAAATCACAGGCAAGGATATTGCTTCTACTAAGATTGCAGCTAAATCAACCATTTATCAGATCATCAAGAATGTCAAGAAGAGAGATTCAATTGTTGTGAAGAAGGCTTCAGGGCGCCCAAGAATGTCAAACACTAGGACCATCTCCTAAAGTGGATTCAGCTGCGGGATCGGGGCACCAACAGTGCAGCACTTGCTCAAAAATAGCAGCAGGCAGGTGCGAGTGCATCTGCACACACAGTGAGGCGAAGACTTGGAGGATGTCCTGATGTTAGGAAGGGCAGCAAAGAAGCCATTTCTCTCCAGGAAAACGTCAGGGACAGACTGATGTTCTACAAAGAGGTACAGGGAATGGAATGCTGAGGACTGGAGTAAAGTCATTTTCTCTGATGAATCCCCTTTCCAAATGTTTGGGGCATCTGGAAAAAACTTTGTCCGGAGAAAAAAAGGTGAGCGCTACCACCAGTCCTGTGTCATGCCAACATTAAAGTATCCTGAGACCATTCATGGGTGGGGTTTCTTCTCAGTCAAGGGAGTGGGCTCACTCACAATTTTGCCTAAGAACATAGCCATGCATGAAGAAAGATAAAAAAACATCCTCTGAGAGCTACTTCCCCCAACCATTCAAGAACAGTTTGGTAACAAACAATGCCTTTTCCAGCATGATGGAGCACCTTGCCATAAGGCAAAAGTGAGAACTAAGTGGCTTGGGGAACAAAACATCAAAATTTTGGGTCCATGGCCAGGAAACTCCTCAGACCTTAATCCCATGGAGATCTTGTGGTCAGTCCTCAAGGAGGTGAGTGAACAAAACAAACCCCACAAATTCTGACAATCTCCAAGCATTGATTATGCAAGAATGGGCTTCTATCACTCAGGATGTGGCCCAGAAGTTGATTGACAGCATGCTAGGGCGAATTGCAGAGGTCTTGAAAAAGAAGGATCAACACTGCAAGTGTTAACTCTTTGCATACAGTTGTAATTTTCAATAAAAGTCTGACACTTACAAAATGCTTGTAATTCTACTTCAGTATACCATAGTGACATCTGACATAAATATCTAAAATAACTAATGCAGCAGACTTTGTGACAATTAATATTTGTGTCATTTTCAAAACTTTTGGCCAGAGCTGTACAAACTATGAGGGGGTAAAACAGTATATGCTGGGTAGGGCTCCAGCCTTGTGCCTACCACTGCCAGAAGACAAAAACAGATCAGTTATTATGGTGTATAACAACATAAAAGGGAGTATTTTTTGAGCAGACAGCAGTAACACCCTTGGCACAGTGAAGAAAGACACCAAAAAAAGTCCAACAAAAAAATGGTAACTGTACTGTGATGGAAAGCCTGCAGGAATCATTAGATTATCTGGCTGCAATCCTTTCTTCTGGCCATGCACTGTTCAGTAGAACAAGTATTAATTATTGATTCAGTTCTTCCTTGGAATTTCAAGGGGCTCTAATGCACAGGTGAGGCCAGAATGATTTTGGCTGGGAAATCTAAAGATGGCAGCAGTCATTTGATCCAGTATGCATATAGGGCCAAAATGTTTGATGGGGTTTGCCTACACATTACATACCAAATATTACAGTGCTGTGTATAGTCTTCTACTAGAAGAATAAACTAAGCTCCCAGATTCTCAAAATACATCACCCGTCTAACTCTGGTGTTCATTGACAAAACCAGAGCTCTCTCACAAATATCCAATTACAAATGAAGTAGGTAAAATATTTAGTTTTATTTTAACAGCGTGTCATTTTAATTAAACAAGAGTATCTTGTTTTAATTTGAAGAGATTAACAGAACACTGGAGCGATAATTTCTTATGTAACCATGCCATATAACTCAAGAATAAATAGAAACTTACACTATTTTTCAGCATGAGCATTGCACAATTATCACATTTGTGACTACATACAGGTATTGAAGAAAAAAGTACAAGTAATACTAGTTCAGCAAACAATTACAATATAGCCAATTATTTGTTTCAGAGTGCCATGTAGTATGTAAGGACAAAATAGATGAGCTGACAACATAAACAATGCTTTTAATACAGTTTACATGAAGCTATTTATCTGCTGTATATTTTTGCAGTATTTTGTTAAAAAGCTAATCGTCATTTATGCAAATACATGCATAATAGTTTACTTGATGGAAAGTTTTGACAAACTGCACGCAATATACAAATGCAGAAAGTCTGAGCCATCCGCATTTACCTGGCTTTGTGCAGCTCTCAAAACGAAGAAAAACATAAAATACATTAGTGAGGATTAGATTAGAGACTAATACAATCTTTAATGCAGTATGCCCAACAAAATTAATAAATCTGCTAAAGGCTCACCACCTATATTTAACAGCTTAGGTAAGATAGCTAATGTGGCACTATACAATTATCCACGTTGTGGTCAACTAACATTTGCTGTATAGGATGGAATGTACCAAGATAACCGAGCCATCACCCATACAAATGGCGGGTGATCCTTTTTCTAGGAACAAATTTGCATTGTAACTGATCATCTACTTTATTTGTATAAAACTTAAAAAAAAAAAACAAATTAAATGTTTATTACATTTCTGCAGATATAAAACATCCAGTTAAACTACTGACTTTGCCTCAGTCTTGTTTTCTGATTCCATACTGTTGTTTTTCTGTTGCTCCATGTCTTCACAAGGTGGTTCTGAGGTGGAATTTATCTCTGTATACTCCACTCTTTCAAACAAAATGAGAAGTTCACAATGGGGTGTTTGAGGAAAGAGGTCCACAGCAACAGCTCTGACTGGCCGGAAGGGACGACCCTTTACGCGGTTTGAAGGAGCTCGGCAGAGACTGGAAACAAATAAACACAGGCTGACTCAATCATTCATGAAAGATACAGAAACTAAAATGGCTCAACCCTTATGATCATGTTGTATTTAGTATTTACTATTCTACCCTTATAGTGCATAATTAAAGTGACTGTAAAGAAGGGTGAAGGTGTTTTAATATTAGAGAAAAAAAAAAAAAAAAAAAAAAATATATATATATATATATATATATATATATATATAGATATATATATCTATCTATCTATATCTCTTCTCTGTGCAGCGCCATCCACCCCCAGACCGCCCCTATGCTTACCTGAGCTTGATCTCGATCCAGAGATGTGCACGGAGAACAGAGGCTCTCTCCTTTCTCATTGGCTCAGACACAGCAGCAGGAGCCACTGGCGCACTGTGTTTTATGGACACACAGAGGGCACAGTTATGCCTTTACAATTACTTTAAAGTGACACTAAACTCTTGTTTAAAAAAAAAAAAAAAAATCAAGTATGTATTAACTTAAAGTACCTACTATTGCTCTCAGCCTCCTCTAAATCCCTTTTCTTGGCTGCAGTGATCCAACCTGGACGGTGGCTCCATGTTCCCACTTTATGTAAGAACGTAGCCACTCACTCTTGCTCACTCCCATGGTGGACTAGGGACTATAAGATGTGCATAGAGCAGTACACAGGACCACAAAATAGTGTGCTCAGCTTGTTCCAAACAGAAACAAGGGGGAAAAGGAGAGATTCACAAGCTCACAGAGGACATTACATGGAGGCAGAATAATGCAGTAAAGAAATTATTTCATGAAAAATAGGTTACAGGGTCATTAAGTAGTGGATTTGGATGATTATTTTTGGAGCACAAGGATATCGTTTAGTGTCACGTTAAGGAAAAAAATATTCTAGACATAACCATCATGATTGAAAACACCTGAACTAAAACCACTTTCATCCTCTCACTCCCAATATCCATATTAGGTCAAGGACAGTGCAGATGTACCTAATCAGCTCCATTTCAACTAATACTACAGCCCCAGAGCTATGATGTGAATGAGAGTCAGAACAGCTGTAATCAGAGGATAATGGAAGGAAGGTAATTGATACAAACTGCGCTCAAAGTACCTATCACCACAAGCTTTTTGGATTTTAATGTTTCGAAAATTCACTGCAAAAGGCATCAACCGCATTATACTTACTCTATAAAGTTGTTAAAAGCAGCCTTTGGATTGCAAGACACGTAGATCAGTTGTTTAAGATGTTCTGCTCTTCTAATTGCAATTACCACCTTAGAATCTACAAGGCAGTAACATAAACAGAAGGGTAGATTTACACACATACAGATAAAATGACAGGCGTGATACACTATGATTTATCTTAATACAAGGAAGTACAAGTGGCAATACAATAGTCGGAATAGAAGTCCCCACTAATACTAGAGGGAAAAAAAAAAAAAAGTATGAAACCAGCAAACAAACTGTAAACAAACTGACTGTCATGGAAGTACAGAGACAGTTTTGACTAGTGAAAACACTAGATGCATTGTTGTGTCAGATTTCATTACCTTACCATAGTGTAACAATTATTTATTTTTAAATAATCAAGTGTTCCCTTTACTAATCAGACAACTACATTAAAAACACACAATGAAACTGGCTTTGTAATCCGTTCTGTTTCTAAAGCAGTATTCATCGCGTAAAGATGAAAAAAGAGAAGGTAACAAAGAGATTGCAGTGCTACATTAAGAGAACAAGCAATTACTTACGAAGCCCTGCTCTTGGAGGATCAACTATAGCAACAGGGTTGCGAGATACGAGGGTGTTAATCAAAGTAGGGAAGATGTCCTCTGCTTTGCCACATCGGAATTCAACATTGCTCAAGTCTGTAAGCAAACATAACAGCTATATTTATAAAAAAAAGGCCTGGTTAGGCATGTCAAGGTGTTGTCAGGCATATTGTAACCAAGCTGTTTGTGGCATTGGTGCAGTAAAAGCTTCTTTCTGGCACCTCGACCAAACAGCTCATTTTTGTTCAAGTATCACCGTATTGTACTCCTTAAAAAACAACCACACCATCTTTTTCCAGAGCAGCCTGTTTTTCTTTTGAGGTTGGCTGTGGGTTGTTCTTTGAATCCCAGACAATTCTGTCAGTTATGGCTGCAATCTTTCTTGGTCTACCTGACCTTGGCTTGGTATCAAGAGATCCCTGAACTTTCCACTTCTTAAGTGATTTAACAGTACTGATTGGCATATTCAAGGCTTTGGACATCTTTATATGTCCTTTTCCATTTTTATAAAATTCCATTACCTTGTTACGCAGGACTTTTGACAGTTCTTTTCTGATCCCCATGGCTCAGTATCTAGCCTAGTCAGTGCTTTCCCATAAGAGCTAATAAACTCATTGTCCATTTATACACTGACACTAATTGCAATTTAAAAAGCCACAGATGTGGGACATTAACCTCTAATTGGCATTTTAACCCGTGTGTGCCACCTTGTGTGTCTGTACCAAGGCCAAACATTCCAGGGTATGTGAACTTTTGATCATGACCATTTGGGTGATTTCTGTTATCATTAGGATTTAAAAAGGAGCCAAACAACTATTTCATAATAAATGGCTTCATATGATCATCGTCCTTCAATAAAAGAGCATTTTTTTGGCATGATCAGTCATATTTGCAATATCAATGGTAAAATGTCACAATTTCTGCCAGGGTATGCAAACGTTTGAGCACAACTGTAATTTGTATTATAACCCCTCAACTCCCTTATCCTGGACATAACCTTCTATCTCCATCCATCAACATCCTACATTCCATGTTTCATCTAATTGGGGTGTCTATTTTCCAAGAAAAGGTCATTTTGGGAGGTTACGAAAATGTTCTGGCATTTTTGCTACGCTTATAACAGAAACTAAGAGAAGCTTTTTTCAAAATGTTTTTTTTCTTAAAAGTAAAACATAAAAAGCCCATTGGTTCTCAAATACTACCAAAAGAACAGCAAGCTTTTACAAAGCATTCATAGAATATTTAGCAAACTTTGTTAAAGCCAAAGTAATATACAACTCCAGTTTGGAAAGGTTAAATACAGATCTTAATAGGACTGCTGATTGTCACAAAAAAAAAAAAAGCTACTATCAGGCTTTAGTAAACTTCAGCTTATCCCCTTGCCAATGCATTATGCACACATGTGGCCTCACTAAAGTAGGCCTTCTTCCATGGGGCAACATATGTGCGCACCTGCGTTGCGTTGGAGGCGCACTTCCAGCACGGCGCCCAAGTCGAAAGTTCAGGTTCCCGTATGACCAATCAGGGACCCGGGAGGATTGGCTCCCAACCATTATTGCTGTGGAGGCCTGTGATTGGCTATCACAGTGATCACTCTGTAAAACCCATCCATGTTCTTTCTTTCTCCTCTGAATGGAGAAAGATGCAGTGCATCATTTCCACTAGCCAGAGGAGAAGAATGTACAAATAAGTGTCATTGCAAATAAGCAATACACTTGTAAATAATATACAGTATTGCCATTATCAGCTTTTCCATGCCAAATAGCAATAATATAGCCTTAATTATCATAAAACATGCTTGGGGGCAGACAATTCAATCCATTCGCCTGTCCTCCATTCACAGATTAACTTTCATTCATAGAAGCTGTCTTCAATGAAGGAAGGAGCATTGCAGAAAGGGTGAGCATGGTTGATTAGTGCCTGTCACAGATTCCTGGGTTTTATTAACCCCCCTGTCACAGATGCCTCGGTTCCAATAACCCTTGGTGCACTCCTGTCACAGATCCCTCAGCTCTATTAACCCCTGCAAGATTACAGCAGCGGGCAGAGGATGACGATTTCAAGGAAAGCAGGACCCAGCAGCCAAGGGTCACATCACACCAATAGCAAATATTGTCCCTTGTGCTGATTTTTTATTTATTTTTTACTAAAAACTTCTTTTAAAACTGAAGCCATGTATGAATTAAATTGCACACTTAAATTGGTCCAGCTTCAACCAATGCAAGTGTGTATATCTCATACCTGAGCGGTCCCTGTGGAAGTTGCAATTAATTGTAGCCAACACTAATACAGCGATAGCAGCACTCTGTCACCATTCACAGAACACCTTTTTTTTCTTAATGAATACAAAGTACATTTGATAGAATGATGTGGAAAGGCATGCTGGGGATGTCATGATCCCCACTTCATCCAATCACAGTACAGCTTGTACACACTGAAAAAATACAAGGTGATTTTTTTAATGGCAGGAAGCAACAGCCTGTAGTTACTACTCAGAAGGACTGCTGCTTAGCACTGGACCTGGAAGACTGCTGCGATCACTGTAGTAGTGGTGACTACTACAGTGATTAGCAGCTTTCACTAGAATCACTCAGGTATGGGATATCCATTCTAACATTTGACCAAGCTGGACCAATGTAACTAAGCAAATTCTTACCTAAAGTATCAAATTTATACCTTACAACTGGACCTCCCCTCACACTCCCCCCCCTTCCCCACCCCAACAATGATAAAAGGTAGCACCTTTAATACACACCTATATTCTATAAGGATAATACAACATCAATTCATATTACCAGCTGACAATAGCTGGTGAGCTTTCCAAGTACTGGTGTTTGTTAATAAAGTTCTGTGAAAGCAAAATAAGCACAGAAATGGAACTTACTATTTAACTGGGCATTAGCCTTTGCATCCGCAATAGCTTCCTGACACAGCTCGATCCCTATAACTTTCTTCACTCTCTTTATCCAAGAAAAAAAATTTTGAAAGTTAGCCGACAGGAAAATTAAACAGCCAACAGAGGCAGCAGGTTGTACTGCCAGACCTGTAAGAATATGCTACTAGAGGAAAGAAAGGTTTTACCTTGGCCAGGGAGAGGCCAATGGTTCCCGTCCCACAGCAAACATCTAACACAGTGCTGTTCTGGTCCAACTGAGCCCAGTCTGCAATTGTTGAATACAACACCTCTGCTGCAGGTGTGTTAACCTATAAGATATAATGGTCCTACTTTCAAAGCGAATCATGAAAACAGATCCATCTGGTAACTTAGGCAATGTTAATAGCTCTTAAGAGAATCAGAACTTTACTTACTGCATAACATAAATGTGATTGGCATTTTGTAAACAAGGTTACAGGTTTTCATTCTTTGTGTATATGGGTCAACTATATTGTTTATTACATGTGCAAGATGTGCTTTAGGCCTAGAAATGTCTCAGTAGTTGTATTACACCCCCCTCACCACCACCACCACCTCCCTAAACACTTAGCCCAGTCCTCTCTCAATCCAGCACAGTCCCTGTCTGCAGATGCCTTATCCCTCTTCTTCCTCTTTTCACAGGACACAGGCAGCAGCTGGAACCATTGGCTACTCTGCTGCTGTCAATGAAATGTTATGAGAAGGGAGTAAGGGGTTGGGTTGAGCAGTGCTGTGTGTGTGTCTATGGATACAAACAGCCCGACTAAGGAAATAGAAAGCCTGCACAAGTACCCCATAGCAGTCAGCATGCCGTAGGAGCACATGCAGAAGAGGGGGGAGAGGAGAGCACCTGAGGATGACCTTAGAAGCTGATGTAAGAGACCGCTCTGTGCAATACCACGACACAAAGCAGGTAAGTATAACTATTTTAGGTAAACAAAATTTAGTCTTTATAACCACTTTAAACATGTGAAAACCTATCATAGGAATATAAAACAAAGTATAGTATAGTTTGAGACAAATAATGAGTGAGGTCAAATTGCATCAGTGTTAACTATGTGCCTGATAAGCAGAAAGAAACAAGGCCTTTTCTAATGCAAACACATACAAAAAAAACCCTTGCTCACCATGCAATGTGACCATAATATCAGTTTACTGCTGTGATGAACATGACAAATTAAAGAATAAAATGTTTTGGAATGTAGTTCGTCCAAGTGTGAAAGCTAACATGGTTATGTAAAAAAAAAAAATCACGTAGAAATTCAAAGAAAAAAACCCCTCAAAAAACACAAGAGTAGGCTGCATTAGATCTCATTTGCTGCACAAATATAAATAAATATCTTCACCTACATATATGTTAATATTTCTGCTATGTATCTGCTCAAAACTATTTACCTGAAAGAAAGCATGGGGTGAAATACGGAAAGTGAGGCCCAGCAGTTCCTCGTGGATGTGCTGCTCCCCACTCACATGCTCCACAGGTAAATCCTCCAGGTTTGGGGATTTTCTAGAAGACAGAATTTTTTTGGTCTGTTAAAATAAACAATTTGAAATGTCCTGTTAAATGCTATAAAAAGGCACAACCCCAAACACAACTTAATGTTTTCAAACTTTTTCAGCTGACATATTCCTGTGCAGCACGCTTGAGTTACCTTGGTCGTAGCTTTTGTAGTAGGGCATGTGAGCGTTGTCACCCTAGGAAATAAGTGTGCTAGTGGCAGAATCAAAGGGAAATTAAAAAAGGCAAAAAAGAGAAGTTCTACTTTATATCCTCCCTCCACTTTTTGGAATTTTTTTTATTTTTTTATTTTTTTTTATTTTGGGGAGTACCTAGAATTGTCAGGTACCTGATGCCACTTACACTGGAATCGCTTTGGGGATTTCAACAGAAGTCATAAAATGTTGGGTTATACTGCCTCCTACAGGAGGATTTGACACTGGCAAACAAAGTTTGTATGACAGCCCCTGATAACCTCTCCCACTACCAGCATGTTGTTTGCTAGTCTCCCAGGAAGATAGCGTCTTTTCTCCAATTTAACCTTTTTTTGATACCTTTTTCTTCCTTAATTTTTCTTTAATCAAGATTGCTCCTACATCATTGCTTGAGCTGGTCTTTACGGGACAACCTTTCAGATCAGCCTTTCTTTGGTGTGCTATGCCCAGACCCTGATGGGCTGAAAACTATGGAGCTGTCCAGTTAACTGCGGAAACTGGATTATGCCTGTGAACCTCACAGACATCAACTACCAGTAAAAGTTAGCCATGGAGTGCTTTCCAGGTCTAGAGCCTTTAATCAAAAATGTTGATTGTATTATTATTATTATTGCATGAAGTGAATACTGCCTAATTAAGTAATTTGGGTTTTATATTACTATATTCAATCTCCAATTTTATATACATCTTATCTATATTTATTGGTTTTAGCAATTAATACATATTTGTAAATAATATGGATATTATGTTTTCAACATTATAAATAACTATTTTGACTTTATTATATTACAATATCTGTATGCTATCGAAGAATTTAGATAATTAAGAAGTCTCAATACAAATGACCTCAGGCGATTATGAAGAATGTTTATCTATACAGCTTAGAGACATTCGCTAAGTAATACATTATTTTAACCGTTTCAATACCGTGCAATTTTACACCTTCCTGCCCAGGCCATTTTTCAGGTTTCAGCGCTCTCACACTTTGAATGACAATTGCGCAGTCATACAACATTGTACCCAAACTAAAATTTTATCATTTTCTTCACACAACTAGAGCTTTCTTTTGGTGGTATTTAATCACCGCTGGGGTTTTTATTTTTTGCTAAATTAACAAAAAAAAGACCAAAAATTTTGAAAAAAAAACACATTTTTCTTTGTTTCTGTTATAAAAGTTTACAAATAAATAATTGTTCTTCATAAATTTAGGCCGAGATGTATTCTGCTACATGTCTTTGGTGAAAATAACCCAAATTAGGATGTATTATTTAGTTTGTAGGAAAGTTATAGAGTTCACAAACTATGGTATAGATCTGAATATTGATCAATCCTGAAGTACTGACAGCCAATCTAATTTCTTGAGGTCCAAGAATGTCAGAATAGTACAGATATCCCCAAATGACCCCTTTTTGCTGAGTAGACAGTCGGACGTACTTCATAAGAGGCATGGCGAGTTTTTTGAAGTTGTATTTTTTTTTGTCATAATTTTTCCGAAAATGAAAAAATGAAAAATATTATTTTCACTATTTTTTTTTTTACATACTGTCACCAGTGCAGTACAGCGTCATCATATAACTGGCATGGCGGTGAACAGGGACACTGACTGGTGACAGTATGAAAAAAAAAAAAAAAATTATATTTTTTTTTAATTTTTTTTTATTTTTTTATTATATTTAATTTTTTATTACATTTTTTTTTTATTTTTTTTAAGATTTTTTTTCATATTTTACTATGACCAAAATAGTACAATGTTACCATAGTAACATTGTACTACTTTGGGGAAGTGATCAGTATTTTTTTTTTTTTTTTTTTTTTTTACACAATTTGCTTATAGCAAAGAATTACTTTGCTATAAGCAAGCATTTAGCTGAATGAAATCGATTCATTCAGCTTTTTTTTTTTTTTTTTTTTTTTGTGCTTAGCTGTGATTTGGTCACAGCTAATCACATGACATGTGCATGTGATTAGCTGTGACCATTCACAGCTAGGCACTAGTATACAATGGATGGCATCATGAATGAAGCCATCCATTGTATACAACTGTCATGTGACCTGCTGTGATTGGTCGCGGCAGGTCACATGGTACCGGCAACGGGAGCCGGTACTCGGATCTGTCATCGGCCGTGTCCGAGGTGCACGGGCGGTGACAGATCCCGCTGCTGCGCCGCTCTGCAATAGCGCAAACGGCGCATGTGCGGGAGCACGCCAAATGGCGTGGACCCGGAAAGCTGCAGCGCTTTTCAAGCCGCCAAACGGCTATTGGCCGGGCGGCTAATGGTTAATAGACATTGGTCCCAGTTTGTCTAACCAAGTCTGTCAAAAAAAGACTACCTTTTAAATTTATTGCACTCCAACAAAATGGAGGTTATTATTAGGCCAACTCTTAACATGGCACAGGAGGTTATTCGAATCATTCAGTAATGAACATGACACCATGAGTGACATCATAATTAAGCAAGATAACCTTTGCTCGCCTAGGTTTTTTTGGTGATAAACGTTAGGAGACAAAAAGGGGAGGGGGGGGGTTAGAGATCAGAAACGGACATTCACACACAGGAGAGAGCTGACCATATGCTACATCACTGACACCATAAAGTCTATATTGGTAACGTGTTCATTTTTCTGTAGGCAATTTGTGCTCGCCTTATATCTCCAGCTAAACCGTTTAGTACGATATTGGCTATGGTTAGCACTGGAGTTGATTTGAAATAATTTAAACTGCAGTATAAATTATCTTCATTTCAATTCTCTGGGGGGAGATTCTCTTTGGAATATCCCTGAAGCTGATTTCAGCTTCTAGTCAAAGTAGAGACAACTTGGTGAACATTTGTTCTTGACCTCAGATAGATTCTAAGCTTATTGGATTGTCCTGTGTATGGTATTCTAAATCAGTTCATGCCAAGGTACATTTTGACCACATGATCTCTCTACAACCAGATATTCAACGCTCAATATGCATATCCTTTGTCATAATCTGCTAAATTACTGATAGTTTCCTACGCTGCATTTTTAGACAGTTGGTCCTAATTTGTTAAATATTTGAAAAAAAAAATTTGCTGGTTTGAATTTGTAACCAATATTTTTTACTAGATGACTGAACTGCTATTTTGATTTGATTATTCATAATTACCTATTGTACTGTAATTATCATTTTGCACTGGTTTTATCATTAATATATATTTTTGAACATTATTGCCTTTTATTTCGTCTTCACAATTAGTGCAAATAAAGAACTCGGATTATCAGTTGATTTATGAAAATTAGTAGGGATTCTCCTTAATTTCAGATCCCCACCTGTTTTCATAAATTATATACTAATTATTTTTTTTTTTTAGAGCTAAAGTTCTGACAGCTTATTGATATGGCTGAAGATTTCAGCCTGGAATTTTGCCCACTTCTAAAGTCTAGGCCATCTTTGAAGTCTTCCTTACATTGTATGTGAGCACCTTCTTGTCTGAGAGATTTTACTGTAGTGATGTAGGATTTTATGGGGCAAAGAACAATGTTTACAATTAACTGCAGAGGTCACAAGCATGCTCCTGCGTCTGCACCAAGAGATTCTTTATTTTGATCTGCCTTCAGCCACGGAGGAACTGTCTGACGCCATATCTATACAGTCCTTAATGGACAAACCTTGCGCCCAGAATAAGAGAGACTGTTTCAGTTTCTGTTCATGCCAAATGTACCTTTGAATCTGCCTGTCACTTCTACCTAGACTGCGGTCCTCTGTCCTTTATGAAAACTGGAAACATCCTGACAAAATATTCCAGGTGAACAAGTTAGTCCATTCCTAAGACAGACCAATTCATCTGGCATACAGCAGCAATCTGGAATTGGGATAGGCATCAGTAGGAGGTAACTTTTTTTTTCCTGAGGTTCTGCTTTAAGACAGCTATGCACACGCACAAACACAAATGTTATACATATATTATACACACACACACACTGTATATAAAATACATGTTAAAATATACACATTCATATACTGTATTAGACACACATGCACACACTGTGTATATCATTGCACAGAATGCACTGGTACATATAAGCACCATCTTTGTTGGGCTTTTCATAATCTATTACACTTAAAGAAAAAAAAACATTTACTGAAAAACTAACCTTTGCCCTTCTTCAACAAAATAAATAGAGGTGATACCACTATCTTTTCCAGGTCCCTCTGAAAAAAAAGCTGCCAGAGAGGATTTTAAATCAGCCAGGGTTTCCTTGGTCATTTTCTGTGGAAAATAAACTATGTATTATATATTGTTTAAATGACAGAGCAAAAACAGCAATTCAAATTTGTGATAATCTCTCCATGTATGGAGGTCAAATCTTCAGGGGGGAAACATTTAAAAAAAAAATAAATAAAAGAGGCGATTCTCGATTGCTCCCTGCTGATGGAAAGGAGCTCATGTGCATTGCACTTGATATGTGTTTGGTGAAAACATGCATACATTCACAGAAAGTCTCGTATAGTAACAACTCACAGAACACAGACAATGGATTGTATACCTGAGGATGAAAGTATACAATGACCATGACATGGCCCTTCCTACTGCTACGGACAGTCAGCTGTTTCCAGTGGCCTTCATATGTCTCTGGGCTGTAGACTGCAAATGATGTAGACCTGTATGTAAAACACAAAATAAAAGACATATCTGCTAGCATACAGTAGGTAGACAACAAAAGTTTAAAGTGTAATTACAAGCAAAAATCAACAGCATACGAATCAGTATGTTGCTAGCATTAACAGCAGTTTTAGGTTTGAGTTTCCCTATAACAAAACGTAATACCTGTTGATCCTGCCAGTAGATGGTATTTTGCCATTTTCAGTAACAGGTCAAGCTGTCCCACAAAAGTGGCATTTGGACAAATGGGACAAACCATATTATACTAGCAGGAATGCTCAACTTTCAATCATATGGCTTAAAACTTTTTTCCAAAAGATAAGAAAAATAAAAAACTGTTGGGGAAACGATTTAAAAAAAAAACATTTCTGATTGAGTTATGCTTTGAAGTAAATGTTTAGAATGGACCACCTATACAGTGTCTCTATCTATATAGATACTTCTACCGTAACATTACCATGTAGTTACTGAAAAAAAAAAAAAAAAAAAAAAAGTAAATATTTGATATCTGTCAAAAACAGTCTTATTATGATACAACCAGAATTCTTCAAATGTGGGGAGCGTATTTTTCCCTCTTCACTGAATAGAAATTTTCTGTACAGACGTAAAAGATATCAGCCAAATTCTCTTTGCAGAAAAAAAAAAAAAAAACATGAAAGATTCAGGGACTGGAATGGAAAAAGTTTAATTTCACACATTTATCGGATATATGTTGTGAGTCTTTTGAAAGTTGAAACAATTGTTGGATATATCTGTTGACTGCTGACTACATTTGTATGAACGTAAAATTTTCCCCTCTTCTCTCTGAACAATTGTGACTGGATCAGAATATGAAAAAGACGATCATTTTTTTAAAAGATATGTTTATTAAAGTTTTATCAATTTTCCATATCATACAACAACAGCAGAAGACTCACAAGGTCCCAAAAAGCAAAAAAATAAACAAAAAAAAAAAAAAAAAAACAAACAAGCGACCGCGTAGGGTCTCACAGATCACGTGAAACAAGGAACAGTGCTATAGAAACTATAACAAGTACCTCCAAGAACAGGGTTATGCACTCTGGAATAAACACACAATACACACTAAGATCATGGAAGCAATATTCAAAATATCTGGATCTAGAGAGGTCAAGGTAAGGGGACTTGCAATCTACCTGCCCCAAAGTTTATCAAACATTGTTCTCTTTTTCCTCAGTTCAAAGGTAAGCCAGTATAAAAAAAAGAAGGACATCATTAATAAGTGTAAGCCATTGTGAGCTTGAATAGTGGCGAATCTAGGGATGGAATCAGTCATAAGCGTAGAGTGATACTCCCGTGATAACTTTAGTAGTTTGTGGGTGACATAATTGTTTTCCCAAGGGAGATATTTGAACAGGTTATCGAATGATCCAAATTGTGTTCGAATAGCATGTCGCAGCTGATAGTAGTAAAAAAACATAAATATGAACGGTAGGTCGAATTCATCCCATAGGGAAGAAAAGAACTTAAGGCCCTGTGGAGACAAAAATATGACAGATATTTAACCCCTTCGAGATGCCCATATTTGTGGATCAGCAAAGAGTATAGTTCGCCCAAGACGGGATTGAAACCACAATAATTTACGATGGAAGAATCTACAGTTGTGGCCAAAATTATTCAACCCCCACTGAAATTGAGTGTTTTGGGCCAGTTTTTGACATTGCTTTTGATCATTCCATTCATCTTGCTTACATTTACATTAAAGAGGCACTTGGTAGGTCAGACAAATATAACATAACAGTTATAATGAAATAACCACAAATGTCTTTCTGTGCTCACAGCATTATCAGTTTTATTCAACCCCCAAGTGACATTCAATCTTAGTACTTAGTACAGCATCCTTTTACAGTTATAACAGCTTTTAAACGTGAAGCATAGCTTGACACAAGTGTCTTGCAGCGATCTACGGGTTATCTTTCGCCCATTCTTCATGGCAAAGGCCTCCAGTTCAGTCACATTCTTAGCTTGCGCACTGCAACTGCTTTTCTTTAAGTCCCACCAGAGGTTCTCAATCGGAATTTAAGTCTGGTGACTGCGATGGCCACTCCAAAATGTTCCAGCCTTTCCTCTGCAAACCATGCTCTAGTGGACTTGGAGGTATGCTTGGGATCATTGTCCTGTTGAAAGGTCCAACGTCCTCCCAAGCCTCAGGTGTGTGACGGACTGCATCACGTTTTCCATCCAATATCTCCTGGTACTGAAGAGAATTCATGGTACCTTGCACACGCTGAAGCTTCCCTGTACCTGCAGAAGCAAAACAGCCCCAAAGCATGATTGACCCTCCACCATGCTTCACAGTAGGCAAGGTGTTCTTTTCATCATAGGCCTTGTTCTTCCCTCCTCCAAACATAGTCGTTGATCCATGGGCCCAAACAGTTCTAAATTTTGTTTCATCAGTCCCACAGAACACTATCCCACAACTTTTGTGGTTTGTCCACATGGCTTTTGGCATACTGCAGTCCCGACTCTTCTTATTCTTTGGAGACAGCAAGGGGGTACGCCTGGGAGTTTCTGGCACGGAGGCCTTCATTACGCAGTGTGCGTCTTATTGTCTGGGCTGAAACTTCTGTACCCACATCTGACAAAATTTTCTCAGTTCCTCAGCAGTCTCACACACGGGGACTCTCTCCACTCTACGCTTCAGGTAGCGCACAGCAGTCGAAGTCAGCATCTTCTTTCTGCCACGACCAGGTAGCGTTTCAACAGTGCCCTTTGCCTTGAATTTTGCGAATGATGCTTCCTAAGGTTGTGTCTCTTGGTATGTTTAAAACATCTTTTGCAATCTTCTTATAGCCATGTGCCCTTCCTGTGAAGAGAAATCACCTCTTCTCTTGTCTTCCTGGACCATATCTCTTGCCTTCACCATGTTTGTAACCACACCAAGTAAATGTCTAGAAGGAGCTGAGTATCACAGTCATTTTAAAGCTGCCTAATTGGTGCTTATTATGCTTGATTGCTGCTCGGTGACATCCACAGGTGTTTTCAATACCTGATGGAAAGCACCTGTATGAACCTCTGTTTCTTCAGAGTGGTAGTCTTAAGGGGTTGAATAATTGTGGCAATGAAGAAACCACATAAGAACCATTATACTACTGTATTACATAAACAATTGATGTCATTTTAGTTTGCAAATTTTTGGGTATAGTTACAACGTCCTTGTAGGATTTGATTCTGAATACAATTCCAAATGTACACTATAGTCCCTAAACCCCTTTACAGCATTGGGGGTTGATAATTTTGGCCACAACTGTATATATAAATGGAGACACCATAGGACATGGCCAATTGATACAGTTTATGTGCAGGCTGTTTACAAAATGAAGTGAAGTGGGATGGCCTCAGGTGATGCAGATTAAACAAATTCTCCTACATAAGCTGTACCTGTTCATCTGCAGTATTCTCTTCTCTAATCATCCAAAGGGGGGGTGAGAGAGAGAAGAGGCAGATAAACGGAGTTTCAAATTTTGGGTGGAACTCTGCGTTAATTCTACAGTACAAAATACAGGCTGGATATTCGTAGACCCTGGATTGTCACCAGGCAATGAAACAGGCCCGGTTTTAAAAAATTAAAGAAATACTTTGAAAAGACATCAGGTCTCAATGGGGAAAAATATCATGCAGGATATCTATACGGATATGGACTAGGTAATGTGGTAGGAACATAAGATGCCCCATCGTTTTATGGGAATGAAAATTATCAACCTACAGGACTGAATTCAAGACACCCCATCAATTTCTTCATCCTCCAGAACTGCCTCCATGCTCTCGCCACATGAGGCTAGGCATTGTCGTGCACCAGGAAGAACCCAGGTAGGGTCTGACAATGGCTCCAAGGATTTCATCCCGATACATAATGGCAGAGTGCCATTGTCTAGCCTGTAGAGGTCTGTGTGTCCCTCCTTGGATATGCCTCCCCAGACCATCACTGACCCACCACCACAACGGTCATGCTGAATGATGTTACAGGCAGCATAACATTCTCCACAGCTTCTCCAGACCCTTTCACGTGTCACATGTGCTCAGGTGAACGTGCTCACATCTGTGAAAAAGCACAAGGTGCCAGTGTTGGACCTGCCAATGCTGGTGTTCAAATGGCAAATGCCAAACCAAGCTCTATGGTCTCGGGCAGTGAGCACAGGGCCCACTAGAGGACGTCGGGCCCTCAGAACACCCTCGTGAAGTCTGCTTATGATTGTTTGGTCAGAGACATTCACATCAGTGGCCTGCTGGAGCTTATTTTGTAGGGCATTGGCAGCGCTCATCCTGTTCCTCCTTACACAAACTTGTACGGAGTACATACCAGTCCTGCTGATGGGTTAAGGACCTTCTACAGCCCTGTCCAGCTCTCATGGAATAACTGCCTGTCTCCTGGAATCTTCTTCATGCTCTTGAGACTGTGCTGGGAGACACAGCAAACCATCTGGCAATGGCACGTATTGATGTGCCATCCTGGAGGAGTTGGACTGCCTGTGCAACGTCTCCCTTTTTGAAAAGTAAGATTTTAATCAATATTTCAATGAACACAAGAACAATTTCCAAAATTTTATTTTATAGAACATTTGTTTAGCTCATTACATGAAAGCAAGGTTATTACTTAGATTACAAAATCTTCAGTTTTACTCAAAATTAGTTGATGCAAAAATGAATACACCTCACAACAAAAAACTACTACATCTAGTATTTTGTATGACCTCCATGATTTGTAAGGACAGCACCAAGTCTTCTAGGCACGGAATGAACAAGTTGGAGAGCTGTTGAAAAATCTTTTTCCATTCTTCAAGAACGACCTCTTTTAGTGCCTGCATACTGGATGGAGAGTGATGTTCAACTGGTCTCTTCAGAATTCCCCATAGGTTTGGATTGGGTTCAGATTAGGAGACATACTTGGCCACTGAATCACTTTCACCCGGTTCTTCAGAAAGGCAACAGTGGCCTTAGATGTGCGTTTTGGATCATTGTCATGTTGGAAAAGTGCACAACA